TTGGTAGCTTGCAAGTAGGGTAAAATCTTAAACCCTTCACAGTTCATGACAGCAGAAAGGGAGAATGAAGAAGAAATTTGAATGCGCCCCTGCTCCTTTCTTGAGACCAGAAGTTGAATGACATGACCATATGTCAACATTCCCTTCTGTTTAAGTTGACTATTGGAGAGTGATTACTGCAGGGAAATGCCCTCAGATTTCTTGAGTTAGCGCCAATAAGTCTTCAACCTCCCAGATCCCCGAAATGTTCTTATTCAATTTGATTCATGATTGCACATTGGCTTGTTTTAACTCTCCATTGAGATTCACAAGATCTCTGAAAATAAGAAAAAATATTGACTCTTTAACACATGCATAAATTTTGTTTCTGTACAACATAACACTCTGCCGATACTACACATATAATATGCTAATCATCAACATGTTCCTCCTTGCTATGGTTTGAATGTGTCCCCTAGAAATATATTTCTTGGAATCTTTATCCCCATTGCAACAGCACTGAGGTGCAGGGCCTAATGGGGGGTGCTTAGGTCATGAGGGGTCTATCCTCATGACTAGATTAATGCTGTTAAAAATCAGCAAGTTTGGCCCTCTTTTGCTTCTTGGCCCTTCTGCCTTTGCCACGTAAGAATGAAGAGTTTTTGCCTCTCTGAAGGATGCAGCATTCAAGGCACCATCTTGGAATCTGAATTTCTAAACCCACCAGCTCCTTGACTTGGACTTCCATCCTCCAGAACTGTGAACCATTAAATTGATTCTTCATAAATTATCTGGTCTCAGGTAATCTGTTATAGCATTGCAAACAGACAAAAGAAAGCATCATCACTATCAATTATATATGTGTGTGTGTGTGTGTGTGTACCAATATATATGCCTATATATATACTGGTACCAGGAATTGAACCAAGGGGCATTTAACCACTGAGCCACTTCCCCAGCCCTGACCCCCTTTTTTCTATTATGAGATAAGGTCTCACTAAGTTGCTAAGGCTGGCCTACAACTTGCAATCCTTCTGCCTCATCTTCCTGTGTTGCTGAGATTACAGGTATGAGCCACCACCCCTGGTACTATCAATATTTTAAAATTAAGTAGCTACACTTAATTAAAGATCCTAGGGTCTTCCCAGTCAGGAGTGGGCAGAAGCCTTCCCTGGGAAGATTTAGGTATCTGCTCTAAATACTCTGGTGAACTTTTTTAAAACCTTTTTGCATATTCACATTTTGTTACTACTAGATATGAAAAGTATAAAGGGCTTGTTATTGGGCACACAGCCAGGAGAAGAAAAGGCTGCCTGCCCTGCTTTATATAGAAGGCCTTAAGCCTTCAGGCAGGATATGAGAAATTTCCCTTAGCCTCATGAAATCCACTATAGTTCACAAAGAGATTTTAGGCAGGGGGAGAGGAGAAGCAGAGGTTTTTAAACTGAATTTTCTTTCTACCTATTGTGTTCTCACCAACCCATCTGGAGTTAGGTGCATCTATGTGGGTGCTTTGAGAAACTGTCATCAAAATGGAGTTAGAACTGATGAGAACAACAACAACAAAAATATATGGAATTAAATGTGCAAGGGAAACACAGGGAACAAAGGAGGAAGAAGCCAGAGTCACAGTGACTCTGTGAAGGAGAGAGAAAAGGGTTGGATAAGAAGAATCTTAGACTTCAGCCCAAATCCAAGAAAGTGCAACCGGACTCATGAAGAGTCCTTGAGCTGGAGTCACCCATCAGAGAGGAGTTCCACATCTCTCAAGATCAGGTCTGCATTAGTATCTTTGTTTTCAGTCACTGGCTGGAAACAGCCAATAGGAAACATGGTCTCAGGGGGATGCAAGGTTGAATTCAGAGTGCAGCAGCTGGGCTCAAGTAGGCTCCCTAAAGCAGGAAATCTGAGTGGTATCATCATCACATCTCCACCCCAGTAGGCAGTCTATGGATGGTTGGGGACCAAGGTTCTAACCAAATCACACAGCTTCATGTCGAGCAAACATAAGAAACAGCTGAATAAAACCCACCATTGTCTTCATTGTAGGCAAGGGATGCTGTCTACTACATCATAGTGTCCCCTTTATGAGGGCCCAAGAGAAATAGCTCCCATGGCTCAGAGTCAGGCAAAGCTCCTTCTCCTGCACAACTGGTATGTTTCATCCTGTAGAACGGGGATTCTCTAGCTGATTTTCTTTGTCTTAACTGCTAAGATGTTAAGAGCCAGATTTGGGATCTACTTAACATTGAAGGCTTTTCTTTTTCAACTATTCCACTTTTATTTTATCTTCCCTGATTCCTTTAGTCAGTATTACTGTTTTCTATGAATGATTTAAATTGTTTTGGGAAATATCACTAGAAATAATCCCCTTAAAACTAGGTGGGTACCTCTTAGAATTAAGTATTCTAGATTTTAAATGCTTTGGTTTGTTAATTTTTTTATGATAACTTTATAAATGAGTAAAATTCTTTCACTCTAAACCAATACTATCTGATAGAAATAGAATTCAAGCTACATGTAATTTTAAATTTTCTAGCAGCACATTTTAAAAAGTAAGAAAACAGGTGAAGTTAAGACAATAAGTCTTTGGAAGTCCATTGTATATTTTATACTGATAGCACATCTCACTTTGTACCAGTTACACTTCCAGTGCTCAATGGCCACAGGTGGTTACTGGTTCCTGGATTGGACAGTGCAGATCTGAACACAAAGATTATGAATGATCAGAGTCAGAAGAGCTTTTAATAACCACAGCTCTTAGTTCTTCCCCCTTTTTTAGGCGGGGGGAGGGCGGGAATAGGGATTGAACTCAGGGACACCAGACCACCGAGCCACATACCCAGCCTTATTTTGTATTTTATTTAGAAACAGGGTCTCACTGAGTTGTTTAGCACTGTACTTTGCTGAGGCTGGCTTTGAACATGCCATCCTTCTGCCTCAGCCACCCAAGCCACTGGGATTATAGGCATGCACCACCATACCCAGCTCTTTCTATTTTTGTTTGGGTTGATTAAAGATTTCTGAGCTCCTGGAAGTTTCTGATACAAACATTAGTACTCAAGGAGGATGAATTCTCTTAACAGGGAATTACTAGAAAACTCTGTTTCTGGATATATATATATATATATATATATATATATATATATATATATATATATATATTCCTCTGTTACTTTTTCTTCAGTAGATTGTACTTGGTTCCTTCTGAGAAACAATGTAATACAATATGGTTATGAATATCTATCTGGTAAGAGAGGAAACACAGATGCATTTTGTTTATTCTGTTCCTGTAGTGTTAAAAAAAACACTGAAGAATATTATGGTGTTAAGTTGAAGTATACAATTAAAGTACTAAAAATTGCTATAAGGCACACCTATGAAAGTATATTGATTCTCCCTGCTTTGGAACCAGGTCTAGAATTTTATATTTGAGTTTGGATAAAGGAAGTTTTTTTCTTTTTAATCAGAGCTAGGAGCCCCAAAAATACAGATTTCTGAGAGTTAATAATCTGATTTTTAGGCAAATTATTTAATCTATAAAAGCCTCTATCTTTTATTACTCTATAGAGTAATCTATCTTAGGGAATAGCTATGAAGAGGAATAATATTATATATAAGTGTTGGAACAGGCAAATAGTAAGAACTTGATAAATGGTAACTATCATCATTGTTAATCACAAAAGACCATAAATCCTGGTATTCTTAACCTGTGGTCTGCAGAATCCTTGGTCCACAGATAAAACTGCAAGATGGTATCTCTAAAATGAGATGGGGAAAAAAAGATTACACCTCATTTTTTCCTAACCTCTAAGGAAAATTTAATGTTTCCTTCCATTCATAATGGAACATCACAGTAGTGTTAAGAGGACCTTTCACTTTGTATCAATGGAAGTCACAGACACTTTTATATTGCATTTCTGATGTTACAGACACCTCAAAATATCTTTCATCACCTCTTAAAAATTATAATAGCTATTGTACCTGCTACTAGATCTTGCTAATTAATGCATTAATACAGAGGCACACACTATGTTATCAATATATTGTTTTTTAAATTTTTATATAATTGATTTCCTTTGTAATCCTATGTATTTTACTTCAAGCACTCAAAGCATTTTAAGAAGGGGTCCACAGTATTCATAAGACTGCCATGGCATACAAAACAGGTTAAGAATCACTAAAATTTAGCCCACCTCTTTGATCTAGAGAGTCAACCAAGTTTGACAACTGGGTACCTGCCTAGTGAGCCCCCTCCCACAGTCTGTCAGGGTGTGTGTGACTTGATGGGAAGCCCATTGCAGTTCTGATTCCACTTTATTGATTCACCTATTTGCTGAGCCTGCCTTCAACCCATATTTGGTACCTATCCGTTCAGGTGCTGTGTTGGATCTTATGAGGAACATCAGATAAGGAGAGAGACTGGTTTTCTGGTAAGTTCGTTTTACGCACTGCCAGCCCACACTAGATGCCAGGCCCCTGATCAAGCTGGCCACCGGTCCTCAAGCCATGGTCCCAGACCCGGCAGCATCCGCATCCCCAGGCAGCTCCTTAGATGCCAAATTCTCAGGTCACACCCCAGACTTTTGGAAACAGAAACTCTGGGATCTGTCAGTCTGTTTTACGCAGACCTCCGGGGATGCACGATGGAGTTTGAATGGGAGGTCGGCCGGGCCCTGGGAGGGAGGCTCCCATCTCCCCTGCGGAGGGAGCTCAAGAGACATCGTGGGGCGCGCTGCAGCGGGGGCTGCGAGTCCAGGGCCGCGAGTCCAGGCCGGGGCTCCGGGGCTTGCAGCGCTCCTGCACCGCGCACCCAGCCCGGCTCCCGGGCCTGCGGGATGACTGACGGCAACGCAGCGCCCGCCCGCGGCTCGGGCTGCGCCCGCTCGGGCCGCATCACGTGGCGGCGCGCGCCGCTAAATAGCCCGCGTCGGCCATTTTGTGCGAGAACCGCAGCGCCGCCTCCCTGCTCGCGTCCTCGCGTCCGCCGCCGCCGCTTCCTGCTCCTCCCGGCCGCCGCCGCCGCCGCCCCAGCCCCAGCCCCAGCCAGCCCGGCGCCGCGCTGCTTCAATTCTCTCCGTCTTCTCGCCACTGCAGCCTCCTGACACGGCGATCCGGGCGGGCCCCGCAGCAATTTTATCCCCTCACCGGCCTCACACTAGTATCGCATGTCCACTATCCAGAACCTCCAATCTTTCGGTAAGGTCCACCGCCGACCCGGCCCCGAGGCCCCGCCGGGGCTTTGTCTGGGCGTCCGGAAGATGGCGACGGGGCCCCGGCGACCCCTCCCCGGGGACGGCGCCGGCCGACCGGCTGCGGACCCCGCTCCGCCAGGCTTGGCCCAGCCCGGTTCCGCCTGCACCCAGGGCCCCCGGACTCGCTGCTGGCGAGAGCCGGGCCGGGCCGGGCCGGGCCGGGTCCGCGCAGCCCTGGGGGGCACGGAGCAGAGGATGCAGGCGCAGGCCTCGGATGGGTCGGGGAAGTGGCCCGGGCCCCCCGGCCCGCGTAACGATTTATAGAAGGACGCTCCTGGATAGACACGTCTATTTTGTTAAATGTGGTGGGGTTTTTATTTTATTTTTTTCAGTTTTGCAAGGCCCAGTTATGGTTGAATGATGGGGTGGGTGCATTTGAATGTTTCTGTTGTCATCAGAATGTAATCGAGATGACGCACATTTTTATAGGGACTAGAGAAATTAAGGAGGATGGTATCCACCCCCTGTCGTTCATTCGAGGACCGGCTTCAAAGATCGTGTGGTCTGTCTGCAATACCGGTTTTTAATTCGAGTTACCAGCGGACATACCTGCTCAAATTTTGTTCATTTTCCTGAGTGTGCCTTGGAAGTCTTATTAATGGCTCACTGACAATCCCATCCCCACCGGCAAAATAAAAGCAAAAGCTCTAGAACCTTCCTTGCTAACTGTCTAGATGGGTATTTTACCCTATTTGTAGAGAGTGCTTCTTAACACGTATTTTTCAGCTTCGGATTTTTCTCTTTGCAGACCCCTTTGCTGATGCAACTAAGGGTGACGACTTACTCCCGGCAGGGACTGAGGATTACATTCATATAAGAATCCAGCAACGGAACGGCAGGAAGACACTGACTACAGTTCAGGGCATTGCAGATGATTATGACAAAAAGAAACTTGTGAAAGCTTTCAAAAAGGTAAGAGCGTTAAGGAAGAAAGGATTAAAATAGAATCATTGGTGCACACCTCTGAATTGGATTGTGGTTCCCACCTTCTTTTGAATAAATATATCAGTGTGGATGAAAATGATGAGACCCAAAAAAGCTGATGTTTTGGGGTTTTTTTTTTTTTTTTCTTCTTTTTTGTAATTAACATCCAGAAATTTGGCTATTCTCCCAGATTGTCTCCCTATCTTAAAATAAGATATACATGTCTTTCGAACAAAATAAAATGTTAAAAGAATTTAGATATATTAATGTCTCATTTCCTTCATATGACCTACTGATTCATTTACAAATTAATCCTTGAGACTTTGTTGGGGATTATAGGAGACAATCTGTTTCCTAAATACAGTCAAACCTACTAAAATAGTTTGTGTTTTTGTTTTGTTTTAAATGGGGAAGTAAAACCTCACTGTATTTAACGAAATGCTGTTGTACATTTGTGTTTTCTAGAAATTTGCCTGTAATGGTACTGTGATTGAACATCCTGAATACGGGGAGGTTATTCAACTTCAAGGTGACCAAAGAAAAAACATTTGCCAGTTTCTCTTGGAGGTGAGTGATTGGGTGCTTCATGTGTAACCTGAGATTGCTTCTAAAATTTTATTTAAAAGCAACATGAATTATTTCCTTTGGTAAAAAATCGCAAATAAAGTAAATTTAGGTAATCAAGTGAAATATAGACAGTATTTATTTTGATAGCAATAAGATTTTTATCCAGTTTAAGTGGTATTTTTTGGCATGCATCAGGGTATACAAATATGTGTTGAATTGTTTGGCTCTTAACAGTGCGTGCCATAGATAAGTGTTGCAATGAACTGTTAGCTGGATCTTTTTGATGACTGTTTGGTGTTTTCTTAAAAATTAACTTATGTGTACCTCAGAGTGATTCTACTAAATTAAATTTTATTTTACAGGTTGGCATTGTCAAGGAGGAGCAGCTTAAGGTTCATGGATTCTAAAATGAACCTAAATACTTGGAGAATTTCTTGAATGATTTTGTTCTCTAAAACCAGTGTGGCTGCCTTGTGAAATGATTCTCTGCAGTAAATGGACTTTTCATGTATTTAATCATTCAAACTTCCATTCACACCTGCATGATTACAGAAAACATGGGGTATGTAGGCTAGTAACACATAAAAAAATTGCAGTAAGATGGTAACAAAGCCCCGTATTCATCTTAACATGTTTCCAATGGAAAATATTTTGTTTTGAGTGTTTATTTGTTTATTTTCACTTGATTAAATGTTTTTTTGTTGTTGTAATAAACCATGTATGTTGCAGCTTAACAATAAAAAAAAAAAAATCTATGAATCCTTTTATAAGCAGTTATGCTCCCAAGTCTAAGCAAGTAAGATAGACATATGTTTTGTCTTTGGAAATTGGACTTCTTATTCTGCAAAGACCTCTGATTAGCTGCAGCTGCTATTACACCAAGAAACAGAGAACTTTTGGTATATGTAACTTGTGCTTTTCATTTACTGATTAAGAAATAAGAATACAAGCAGGAATATAAACTCAGCACCACTCCTTGCAAGCCAACTAAAAGTTGTCATGGAATTTATCAATGTAGTGTAAGAGTGCCAAGTTTAAAGTATCAAAAGATAAGACTTCTTTTATGTATTTTTTAACAATTCTGTTAAATGGGCTGCCAACATTAATCTTTTCCCAAGATGCCAGATATTATTATAGGCTCATGACCACTACATCTAGTCACAGGCACTGCCCTGCAAGTTTAAGTGGTGGTATCACTTATCTTCTAGGTAAAAGACATTGGGTTTCAGGTTAACTTGCTCAGAATACTAGAACTTGGCAGAGTTAGGGTGCAAGCTCAGGCTTTCAGGTAGAAAAGCCATATTTGGCTAAAGAAGCAAGAGCCACAAATGACACTGCACCAGGCGTGATGGTGCTATAAGAAAATTTACAGTACTTAATTTTGAGATTTCTGCAGCCCATCATCACAGGTTCCAGTCTTATGCTTTCTGTTGAGCAGTAGTTATGTGCTCATTGGTACAACCTGTGCCATTAAAACCACTTAGCTAAGGCAAAGAAATGCATCCATAAATGTGACCTTTTACATTGGAATTTTGATAGTATGAAAAAGGTTTATATGTTGCCCCATTTGGATGATACTGCCTTTTTTTTTTTTTTTTTTTTTTTTTTTGTTACAAGGACTTAAACCCAGGAGCACTTAAGCTCTGAGCCACATCCCCAGCCCTTTTTATTTTTTTATTATGAGACAGGGTCTCGCTAAGTTGCTCAGGCTGGCTTTGAAGTTGCAGTCTTCTTGTCTCAGCCTTCCTAACCACTGGAATTAAAGATGTGTGCCATTGCACCCAGCTGCATGATACTACTTGTGAGGAAACAACCCCCACAAAGTTGGCCTTTTAAAGTCACTAAGGATTCGTTTTTGTTTTCTCGCCCTATCCTAGCTGCAAGAAAGGCTGGCACTAGTAAGAGGTCAGTACATCAGAATATGGTGCTATAATTGGTAAGCTTCACTTCTAGAAAAATGTTAATAGAATTTGACCAAGATGAGAAGTTCGAGAAAGTTTTCCAGCCTATTCAGAAACTTCCACTTTTCTACATCTAATATTGAATAATGATTCTACCTCTAGTTCAGGGATGCTATGGGAATAGCACTTTGGTGAGGCATAATAGAGGAAATAGAACTTTAGTTGAGGCACAACCTGGAGTAAAAGGTTCCTCTGAGGGCTGGGGATATAGCTCAGTTGGTAGAATGCCTTGCATGCACTGAGCCCTGGGTTCAATCCCTAGCACCATAGGGAAAAAAAAGGTTCCTCTGGCCTTATGGAAATGGTAAAGCAGAAACATTTAACATTCACTTTAAATTTGTCCCTGGACTTTTAGACTTGTATAACCTAAATAAGTATATTTGCTAAGAGGTGAGCTAGTGCCTAGAGAGGAATATTCATCTTTTTTTTTTTTTTTTTTTTTAAAGACAGCATCTCACCAAGGTGCCCAGGTTGGCCTTGAACTTGCCTCAGTCTCCTCAGTATTTAGGATTATAGGCATGTGTCACTGTACCCAACTAAGAATTTTCTTCTGTTAAAAAGAAATGAGAGAGACTTCATAGATTGGGTGGGGGGAGAACTGTCATCCTGAAACTCGCAGAAGAGCTCTTCATACTCACTTTGTATGTCAGGTTGCTCCCAGTGGATGGGAGCAAAAGCCTAGAGCGAAACTTCCCTCACTGGATTTTCTGAAGAGTGCACATCTGCCAGGATCCCCAAACACTTGTCCAGATCTACCTTGTCTTTAAGGAACAGATTGAGTACCCTTCTCCCTTGTCTTTGAGTAAGTAATGGGAATAAGAGTGCATCATATCTGCAGTGTTACTGAAACTAGTTAAAAGATGAACTTGGGATCATCATCCTCAATTGAAAAAACTGACCAAGAGCTTTTGAGAGCCAGGGAGCAAGACTAACTGCCCTTATCTTGCTTGACATCAGAAGAGGCAAAGCAGTATTGTGTAACTGAGGAAGGAAGGTAGATTATGTCTTACAGGTACAAGAAAAATAATTGTAGCCAAACCAGGTATTCCTTATCTTTCCTATGAGGAAGATTTTGATCTGCAATTTCTTTAGTGGTTTCTGCTTCAGGGTGCAAGATGGAAAAAATTAAGTAGAGGACGGGTAAATTTGTCCCTGGACTTTTAGACTTGGCAGAGATCTGGGCAGAACCATTAGGAAGTTGAGAACATGTTTCCAATGGAAAGTATTTTGTTTTGAGTATTTGTTTATTGTTCAGTTTATTTTCACTTGATTAAATGATTTGTGAGGCACAGCTCAGAGTAAAAAAAGCAAGTTCCTTGCTTTAGTCTTGGCCTTCCTGAGAAAGAGGTAACCCTGGGGAAAAAGCTCACTCTGCCTGGTTAGGGATTCTAGTAGCAGGAGCTGTTCTCTCAACCATCCTAAAAAAGGGGGGCGGTATTGATCACATGAAGGAACAGTTCTAGTCGCAGTCATGATGGCGGTTAACCAAAATAACTTGAGAAATAGAATGGTAATGCAGGCTTCTGTGTGCCACCAGCTGGGTTCCAGCTGAAGGAAAAGTCAACCTCATTAGCTCGCCCCGGATGCCTGTTCATTGGGCCTTTGAGGATTCCTATTACCACACCAGAGGTCCATGTGGGAGGGAAAGGAGAGAGGTGGGAACCTGCTCTCTAACTAAAACCAAGAAAGCCTCATTTGGCAGTAGACTGTAATCACTTGAAAGCAGAAAGTAGCCCAATGACATTGTGCTTGTCTGGGATCAAGAGGCCAAGCGAATCAGCTAGAATTAACAGAAGTGAAACTAATATTAAGAAGGCCTCATTTTAAAGATGGAGCTGAAATTTCATCCTGCAAAAAAAAAAAAAAAAAAAAAGAAGGCCTCAGCAGTGATAACTTCTTTCAGTCAGTCACTTAACTTCCTTTTTATCAGAATAATGGAAGCATGGGAGAAAACAACAAATCAGAGGAATGGCCGGATTTCCTCCCTCCTAGAAAAACATTGCAGAGAGGAATTGGTACCAAATGTCCTTGAATCTCCTGGATCCAAGCATTATGGAAGATGACAGGCAGCCTGTGCGGATTCTGACCTAAACAAAGAATTAAAAATGACAATTGAGACCTAGCATTGGTTTGTGAAAATGCCATTGTAGGTCAGGTTGTTAGGTTGTCAGCCTGATGGGAACCTACTATGGGAAACTATATTGGTCTATATAGCTCTGCTCCCTAGAGACTAATAGTGTGATGCTGAATCTTGGTGAACAACCTACAGATTTCATGCAAAAATCAATTATATAGAGCTAGGCACCATTGATTTAAGGTATAAAAGATGTCTAAAGTTCAAAGGCAAAATCCTCTACAGGGAACCTAAGTGATCTCAGGCTCCCTGCAAGTCTTCAGCTGCTGCTCTCCAGAATTTGGAAGGGCTTCCAGGAGTATGGCCTAGACAGGGGCTAGCCCTAATCCCCAAGTTGTCCCATACCCATGCTTGCCAAGATCCCAGACCCACCTTCCTGAGCCCACTGAACAAGGAACTACATGCGCAATATGCAGTCTAGGGAGTGGAGACAGAATCAGCACTCGATTCCACATCCACCATGACAAATTCAGGAAAAGACATTGCCAAAGAAGGACTTGGAGAGAGGTATAATTCCTTGAAGTATGAAAAATACCCATGACTTCCTGATCACAAAAGTCTACCCTGAGTCTGTTAGTGCTATTGACTTGTTAAAAAACTCAGAGGAAATTTTAGCTTGATATTCAGATTAAACTACTAGCATCAGAAAGAATAGTTCCTGAGTGGTTGGACACACTGAATGGAAATCACTAGCAATCTACTTGATAGAGTTGAAACAAAATGTAGGGTACATGAATGATTAAATGAGGCTCTTAAAGAAGAAATTGATGATCATTAAGAACACAAACAATAAATGCTGATGAGTGTGTCAGGGAAAAGGTACACTCATACATGTTGACGGGACTACAAATTAGTATAACCACTTAAGAAAGCAGTATGGAGATTTCTTAAAAGTCTAGAAATAGAACCACCATCTGACCCAGATATCCCACTCCTTGGTATTTATTCAAAAGAACTAATATCAGTATACTATAGTGATACATGCATACCACTGTTTATAGCAGCATAATCCACAACAGTCAAGTTATGTAACCAGCCCAAGTGCCTGTCAACAGATGAATAGATAAAGAAAATGTGGTATATATACACAATGGAGTTTTACTCAGCCCTAAAGAGGAATAAAATTATATCATCTGCTGGTAAATGGATGGAACTGGAGAACATTATGCTAAGTGAAATAAGCCAGATTCAGGAAAGACAAGGGTTGAATATTTTTTCTTATATGTGGAAGCTAGACAGAAATAGGGATTTTTTTTTTTTTAAAAAAAGGGAGGGGGTGATCTCGTGAATGTAGAAGGGAGAATGTTGAGTAAAGAAAGGGGAATGAAGGGGAGGAAGGAGGGATGGGAAAAAGGAGGAACACTAGAATGAAATTGACCAAAATATGCTATGTGCATGTATGAAATATAGCACAAT